AGGAATAAGGCGTGTGTGTGTATGGGAGGCAGACAGAACTTCTAGAGAAAAGGAGCAAATGTAAGAATTCTGTGAGATGGCCCAGAATCTTTTCCTAGGGCAGATGGATGGAAATCCTGGCACTATCTGAATTGGTGGCTAAGCAGAGAGTAGCAGCGAGTAAGTAGCAGGAGCAGTTGATCAAGCAAGATTGTTCTGTGGGCCTTTAACACAGGGTTTTTCTCACCTTCATTTTCCATTAGTACATGTATTTCTGGCAGATATTTATATTTAGAGATACAGATACATATATGTATATATATATATATACAGATATTCATATACAGATGATATATGAATATTGTATATAATTCATATGCGGATATATGAATATCTGTACGTATGCAGATGTTTATAATCACTGTAGGCTCCTCTGGTCAGTGGAGAGAAACAGGCAATAGTAGGGAGCAATTAATCTGCCCTGTTTTGGGTGTATTCTAGGATAAGATGAATTATGCTCCGCAATCCCCTGCAAAACTGAATATGTCTCTGTTGACGGTAAAAGAAAGCTATGGTGAGTGAAGAGCAATGTCCTCCTGAAGTCATGTGAATCCCAGCTGGGTCACGAGCTCCCAGCATCATTGGAATGCTGCTAGTTCCAATTGTGCAAGATGGGAACCTGCTAGTTTTCAAGTGTGTATGATTAAGCTCATGCAGCTCTGTAGAGATATATTGCTGGGATGAAAAATGGATGAAACATTCATAAGAATGTTACTTTTATTCTATTTCTACATAAGGATGCATTTTGTTAAGAGAAGAAGATATATTACTGCAATATTGTCAAAAGTATGCAATAATAGGAAGAGAGGAAATGAGTAAAGGTATAAGCTGAGAGCCCTGGGAAAGGCTCATATTTTTTGACAGTTGTACTTCTAGCACCTGTTACAGTTTTCAGTAACTCCAGCATTTCAGCTTTGAACTCTAGACTAGTTTTCAGAAGCACACTGTAGTCATTCAATGACTTATCAGTTTCTTCAAGAGATTTCAGCAGTGTTCTCAAATTTCCTGTAGAATAATTAATAAGCCTGTAAATATGTATGTATCTTGGAATTCTGTTGAAAGCCACTCAAGTTTCACAATTTTTGATGTATTTTAATTTAGTCTTTTTTTGGAAATGGCATCTTTTGTATTATTCCATCTGTTTAAGGAATCTGAAAAAACATCATCCTTTTCTCTGCTGTAGACACTTGTGAAGACCTTAAAATTTTGAGGAAAAGCTGAGAAGAAAAGAAGTGTGTTCACAACTGACAGGTAGTTGATAGTCACAATGACACAAATCTGATTTCAGTGCCAGCAACCCTAGAACCCCCTAGTAAATTGAGCAGGAATAGGACTTGAACCTCAGTATTTCTATATGACATTTTATGTAAGTGAAATTTGAATAAGACTTTGGGAGTTTTTGTGGGAAAGATACCAGCAGAGTTCCAAAGTCCGTATCGTTTGGCTGCGCATGTAGCCAAACTTTAGTCTAGTCCATATAGTAGAGTGACACACAGATTTTCAGAGACTTCTTAACTGTCTGCAGGTTATTGTAGTAAATTTACAGGGAGTATGTTGAGCAAAAGGGGAAATTTGTGGAAGTCACCAGCTTTTATGGATGTGCATGAACATTTCATGATTCATCTTAGCTTTCATTTGTTGTTACTGAAAATGAGAGTGGACTAAAAAGATCTGAAGTCATACAAGATGCTAATTGTGTATTCCAGAACTTATTTATGCTGGCTAAGGCTGTACATCCATCAGAGCCAAGAGATTTTCAGTTTGTCACTACATTTCTCAGTGCTGGCAGATGAAAAGAATAGTTTGTCTTACTGAATACTTGTATGTCAGGTTGTTGATGTTGTTTCTGGCCTAAAATCAACTGGAAAGGAAACATGACCTGAACTGGCTGGGGTAAACATTCTTTTGCTTTGCATAAACTTTGATTTTGCATCATAGAGAGTAGGAATTGATTTTAATCCAGTACTCCAGAAAACACCTAAGCCTGTTAGCTTCCATTAACTTCAAGGGGTACTAGCTCAGATGTTAACCTTATATTTTAAATTGGATATGGATGGCCAAGCCAACAAAACCTCAGAGATATCATTACTAAAGCTAAAGGAAAGAACACAAGTGCCGGAGGGATTACAAGATAAAAAAGAAAAACATAGAGCATAAGTAAAATGCATTAGTTCTAAAACACACTCATACAAGGGAGAGGGACCAAACAACTGAAAAGTCCAAGTGAATTGTCAGTGGCAACAGAATATGCTGCTCCACAGCAAAGAGGAATGCCACTCTGTTCCCAGTCCTGGCTCCCTTCCTCTAAGGCAAGACTTAAAGAAGGAGCCTACAGTCTAGGAGACTGAACTCCTGAAGAAACTAAAATGGTTAGATCCCATCAAGTCACTGGAGAAAAAACAAAATGATGAAACCTTTGAAAACATAGTTGTAGAAAGACTGACTGTAGAAAGACATACTTTCTTCTAACCATGAAGAGAGTGTCTTTCTTTGAAAAATAAGTGATATTAAATACTTTTCCATCTTTTGTACCTCAGGGTTACCCCAGGTTACCTCAAAAGACGAACAGGTACAACTAATGTCATTGCAGACATGTTTGCCCTGACAAGGAAGAAATTTCCATGACACAGATACTGAAGGACTGAGTGCTATATGTCCATGAGTGATGAGCTAATGGAGAAGTTGGTCTGATCCACACCAGAATTATCACTCCAAGAATCCAACTGAGAGTAAAGGTTACAGTCTCACAGCAAAGACTCACTGAAGTAAATTTGTAATACATACAAATATTCATAGTCTAATTCAGCAGCTGAATTGACAATTTCAGGCTTTCCTGGGAATAAATACACATTTTTAGGGTGGAATTCCTCTGACCTTTTTGGGTTCTTCTTTAGAAACACAGAGATTTAAATATTAGTCAGTAGTACACCAAAATCTTACCATGTGCTGTGCTATGTTAGCAAGACCATAGCTGATAGATCAGGGGAGGTAATTATTTACCTCTAATTGGCCCATGTGAGACTGCATTTCAGTCAAGTTCTGTGTCCAATTTTGGGCTCCTTGTTACAGGAAAAATATAGATTGGGTAGTAATAGTCCTGAAGGGATCATCCAGGTGGCAATGAAGTCTATGACATGTAAGGATCAGCTGGAGGCTAGATTTGTTCAAATTGGAGATGAATGAGGGTCTGATTGCTGACTTGATCTATATAATGGGCTTATAGAAGAGATGACGGAAGCCAGGCTCGTCTTGTAGATGTACAGAAAATAATAAAAGGAATAAGAAGAAGGAATAGAATCAATCTGCAGCAAGCGAAAACTTAATTTCTTGTGAGATAAAATTCTTCACAGAGTACCCAAACACGGGTGTAGGTTGTATCTTCATCTTTGGAGATTTTCAGAATTTGACTGGAAAAGACACTGAGCATCCCAGTTCAACTGTGAAGTTAGCCTGGCTTTTTGCTGGGACTATCAAAGGTTCCTTCAAACCTCGGTTATTCTGCTCTGGAATTTCTGGTGATGAAGCAGAACAAGGGTTCCTCCTGGCATCTCTCAAGCACAAAGGAAAGACTAAGCGAGCTGGGCCTGTTTAGTCAAGAAAAAAGAAGGCTGAGAGCAGATTTGATTAACGTGTTCAAGTACCTGAGGGGTGATGGCAGGGAGGATGGGGCCAGGCTCTTCTCCGTGGTGGCTGGTGACAGGACGAGGGGTAACGGGTGTAAGTTGAAACACAGGAAGTTCCACCTCCGTGTGAGGAAGAACTTCTTTCCTGTGAGGGCACAGGCTGTCTGGAGAGGCTGTGGAGTCTCCTTCTCTGGAGATTTTCCAAACCCAACTGGAGACCAACCTGTACCCCGTGCTCTAGGTGTCCCTGCATGTGCAGGGGGGTTGGACTAGATGATCTCTAGAGGTCCCTTCCAACCATAAGTGTTCTGTGATTCTGTGATAAAGTATGTTTCTTTAGATTCTTTCTAAACCTAGTAGTTGAAATGAATGGGTGGGTGTGTAGGGTACTAAAACAGGATGATTTTGTTGTAAAGCTCTTTCAAAAGAAACTCTGATACAGCAAACAAGATAGTAGAGAATAAGGATGCTTACATACAAGTTTTATGCTCTGCAATGAAAGTAATTGTCTTATACTTTATATATACCCTTATACTTTATGATGATGTTTTGGGCACAGTATGGGGAAAATAATTTTTAAAAAAGTTTATCTATTTTACATTTACTACAGATTTAAACTATAGATTGTAATTTGCTGTTTTGAAACCATAAATATCCAGAATCTTGCACACAGTTTCTTTTTGAGGTAGCTGTTCTCCTTATTTCTTTGTACTCATAGGTTTTTACAAGGAATTATTTAGCATAGAAAGCATGCAACACCTTTAAACAAATAGGATATACTTGACCCAAGTGCCAACAGCAGACTGTAGAAGATTTATGATCATTTTGCAAGACATTGCATTTAAGCCTCATTTAATAGGCTCAAAAAAGCATGGGCACAGTCAGTAGTTAGAATCAGGTTTTCCTGTAACATTATTTCTATTATGGAATTGGTACTAATACTCCATACTAATACTCAGGAGTTGTTTATAAACATTGGTTATCTTTGTTATTTAAAAATGAATTCCTTAGCATGGTCCGCGCAATGGTTTTAATAAGACATTTTGCAAACAAGTGTATTAACTCACTTAGAAAGAAGCTGGTTGTTGAACAGAATTTTATGATTCCTTTAACATTGTCATAGAAAATACCATCTTTGTAACTTTCTTGAAAGAGTCTGTTCTTTCTTAAATTATTAATCTGAAACTTCCACCAAGTCTATGTAAGGTAAGTGTAGTAAAGTGATCAAGACCAGACTGAGCTTTCAGGTCTTTTACCACTGTTTTTGTTCTAGGATGTGTTGGAGTTTGGGATAACATCACCTGTTGGCGTCCTGCTAAAATTGGAGAGACTGTCACTGTCCCGTGTCCAAAAGTATTTAGCCTTTTCTCTGGCAAACCAGGTATTTTATTTTAAGCTATATTTTGTAAGCATTTAAAATGTATCCAAAGTATCATTATTTTTTAAAAAAACTTTAATATAAAAAGTTGAAAACAGAACAAAACAGGACAAAAAGAGGACAAAAGTAGGTTTTAAACAGGACAAAAATGAGTTTTGCATCTTCTGTATTTGCTAACATAACATGTTGAAAATGTTTATTTGTTGCAGTTTAAGATTTGTATTTTACTATTAAATAATTAAAATAGTAGATTATCATGTTGCAGACATCTCTTTAGAATGTGTAAATAGCTTACATTGTCTTTAAAAAGGTCATGTCTATATCAAACTCCAGAAGTGGTTCTGCTTTTTGAGGGCACATTGTGGTTTAAGGTCAAGGTCTAGTTATAACCTAGGGCCATTTGGTCATTTGTCAGTACAACATTCAGATGAAAACTTTATACAACACACACATTCCAGTAACCAAAGAGGAAAATAAAAATCACAAAGTTTTAGTTCGGAGTGTGTACAAAACCTTTGTGTTATTCTTGGTCAAAGCTGATTTGAGACACATAAAAGTTGTTCTTGGGCAAACAGAAAGCAGGTATGTTTAAATCATATGAATGCCAGTGTTAAACTCTGAATCACAGAATTATGTTATTAAAGAATTCATCATGGACATGAAAATTGGTGGTGGGAAGTTGCTAGTGCTCTAACATTTTAAGAATATGTTTTAATTTTAAGACCCAGTCTTCTTTATGGCATTAAGCTCTTCGGTTTTCTCCTATTGACTTTTTTTTTTTTTTTTGATCTATGAATATTAGAACATGCTGTAGCAAGGAATAGAATCATGAAATGCCATCATCTCACCTGAGTGACCTCAGCTGAGAAAATAGTCAACTTCTTTTCTTAGAAAGTATTTTTTGTTCTAACTAAAGTCAATAAAATATTCAAAAATTGTTTATGGTGTACTTGCAAATTTCTTGTATCTGCCAGTTATTTCAGAGGTTGGTTCAAAGGATGAGATTCAAAGTGCATATTGACATACCCACTGAAGGTGTTTCAGTACCTAAATTAGCAGTAGGTATGTGGGCAGGGTGATTCAAAACCAGCTTGCAAATACAGTCCCCAGGGAAAATGATCCAAAAGCCTGTGGTGCTAATCACAGAATAGGGAGCATAAGGAGCAGGAATTGTGCCTTTGCCAGAGCTTAGGCACTGAATGGAGGCCCTCCATTATACTTTTATGGTCCAAAGTCCTGTTTAGAGTCTAGGTATTTGTCAGGCACAGTTTCTTTGAAAAGCTGCAAAATGAAGGATCTGTCTTTTTCTTAGACTATTATACCATAAAGCTGAAGAATGGGTTCTAGGCTATGCACAGATGGAAGCATTTCAAACCTATATGTTAGATTTCTTTAGAAGACCATGTGGTCCAGCAAACTAGCTCACACCAAACCCTTTTCATTGTTTTTCAGGACAGCACATAATTTGACCTTTAAAGTACATAACCAACTATATCAACATTTGTTGCAGCATTAATTCGTGATCACAATATCAAAAGAGCTTTAATAACTCTTCAGCCGATCATTTGGTATTGCCATCTTTGAAAAGCTAACTGAGAGTTTAGAGCAACTCTCAAATAAATTACTTTTCTATCAAACTACTTTAGCTACAAATTATCTTCTTTATAGAGTGAGCTGAAAGACTGCATCCAGAGTAATTTAGATAAAACTGTAAAATATTTCAGGCTTTTTCAGATATAACAGAAATAGCTGTTATACTAAAGCAGAAGCCCACCATTAAAGCTCTGAATTTCCTTTTTTTTTTTTTTCCTTTAGTGCAAACACAGCTCAGAGCTGGGAGTATAAGCCAAAATAATATGAATGAAGTGCATATGAAGGGAAATAGCTGGGTTGCCTTAGCAGAACTGCTGGAAAGTACAGCATGTTAACAACATATTTTCAGAGCATGACTAAGTTATTTTGGCTAAAGATTCATTGCTGAGAATCCTTGAGAATCTTTCTGAATTAAATTCTGAAATATTCCTTTGCAGGAAATATTAGCAAGAATTGTACAAGTAATGGATGGTCAGATATTTTTCCTGACATCCTAAGTACCTGTGGATATAATGACTATGAGGATGACTATAAGGTAGGAGAATATTTTTCTGTTCACTTAGATGTTGGTGTTTGAAAGAGTTGTGAGACATATTTTGTTTCCAAATAATGCACATTTTATTCTGTGGGAATTAATGTAAATCTGTAGACTTTTGTGGTAGCATTGATTCCCATATACTGTGATTGCAAATCTCATATAAGATAAAAGCAGATATGTGAACTTCAGAAACTATTCAAAACTAGTGACTCTGGACAGTTGGTAATTGCAGCAGTGCATCTGTATTCCTAACATTCTTGGACTTGTGCAGAATATTTTGTGCATTGTGTTTTTTCTACATGTTTTTATTATAACACATCCTAATATTGTATTCCTCCATTAATACATGTACTACTTGATTGCTGGCATATGTCCGAGTTAGGTTATTGGATTTATTAAAGGTTTATATTGGAGTTCAAATTGTGTTGGAAATAAAAAACTGTTCAAAAGACTATCAAGATATAAATATAATACAAATGGAAAAATGAATATGTTTAGTTTGTGGAAACTATTTCTTGTCTTTTTTGTTGAAGGAAGCACCTTTTCCACGATGTGTTTTATGTACATTCTACCACTCTTTATTCCGAGACTAATAGAGCAAGAGTTTGTTTCTATATGTGAGTTCACAGTGTCAGTAAAACTCTCATTTTCATGAAGATGATGAAGTTCTCCCGTGAATAAAGATATTTGGCTAGCTGGCTTTTTCTGATCTGTGGTATGTGTGGAGTAGCTCTGGCAGAACAGTGCTGGCTTCAGGGACGTGGTAGCATTCTAGGCGTGCCGTTCTCGCGGTCTCCCTCTAAAAGCTTTTCTCAACTATATTAACTTGCCTGCTGTTTGTTAAAGATGCATTTTACTTATGGGTCATGGCAGAGACTCCTCCATTAACCACTATTCAAGAACCAAACAGGAACTAAACAAGGAGAGTCAGGAACTAAAACCTTGTGTTCTAGTAGTAGAAGCCTTTCACAAAAGAGTGTGATAAAGATTGGCAAAACCAGTAAGATAGTAATAGCTTCCCATTTTTAGCAGACTTTTTCCAAGTTGTGTAACCAAGTTTATATTTAATGCAGAGCAACTGTGTGTAAATCACTAAGTGTGAAAAATGTGACTCTCACTCAAAATGGTGTATAGACTGTAGATTATGTGTCGTTATTAAGAGAAAGAGAACAACTCCATGTATGTGTTTGAGTTTATTTGGGTATATCTTATAATACTGACAGAGTTTATTTAGGAAGCTGTAATCAGTGCAATTCTGCTTAGTCTCATTTAGGCTTAACAGTTAGTGATTACAGTAACAGTTATATATTTCATAATATTATAGAGCTGTTGTCAGCTTATTTATAAATAAATATTTTATGAAGACCTTGATCATAAATAGCCATTTTTTATGTGTTCAGAAGCCTAACCATTACTGTACTTGAAAAATGATGATAAAATGGTTAGAATGTTTTGTTTTTCTGTTCTTCGCACAGACACATTCAAAAACATTGCTATGATCTGACTGTTTGAGAAAATGAAAACAGCACTGAGAGAGCCATTTTTGTGTATTGTCATTCTACCCAAGCGTTGTCACATGGAGTGGTAGTAGAGCAAGTCTTAAAAAGGCAAATTAACAAGTTAAAATATTTCAGGTAATGGGATGTACGTACCTGACAGATGACAGAATAATAGAAAAGCTGTTCTTATTTGACATATACATTATTAATTTGGAGGAAGAGAATGAAATGCAACTTCATTATATTTGCATTAATAGCAGGAA